ACATCCCTTTACTGAGCAATAATGAAGGCTAACAATAAGTAAAGATCATTGGATTTGTTGAATATAACTAAACTTGATTTTCCTCCAGATGGACCCTGTGAAATGGCCAAGACCCAAGCAGAATCAATAGGCTCTCCATGGGTGACTTAACATATAAACTCAGCCAACACTATGTGGACAAAAACTCATTGAACAACTGGTTGAGTGATGTGAATTTGTTTACGGAAAAGGAATAGTTTATGATAGCAATTCAGAACCGAGTCACTGCCAACAGAAATTACAGAAAAGTTTTCCTTAAGGAGCCGGGACTTATTGATCAATACAGATTATTGAAAAAAAATGTTAGAAACTGTGCAACACATTACTATAAGTTGAAAAAATTTAGCATCTACCAAACACCTAGCAAGACACAATTTGGTGTCCAGAATTATACATCATAAGCTTGCTATAGTTCAAAAAACTAGTAGATGATTAATAGTAATAATAGCTAACATTTATATAGTGCTTTAAGCAGAGGTGAGCTGGAAGCAGTTTGCTCAGGACAGAGTTGACTGTTAAATTTCTGGTGAGTATTTATACCTTGGAAACCTGCGAACACTACAGAGGGATTGAGTCATTGTTTTGTTGTTTGTCTAGATTGAAGAAAGTGATGGAGGAAATGTTAATAATACTATAAATTAAACTTAAAATAGTGTTATGAAGGTTATTTTTCCCTCCAGGAAGCTGGTTGTTAAACATTTACCAACACACCATTGGCTTTAAAATGTATAAGGTGCTTTATTATATTTATCATATTATATTATTTATTATATTATCTAATTTGATATTTACAACAACATTGTGAAATAGGTGCTATTATTGTACCTAGTTTACTGATGTGGAAACTGAGATACTCAGAGAAGTTGATTGATTTGTCTAGGGTCACTCACCCTGGATATCAGTATCTGAGATGGTACTCAAACCCAGATTTTTCTGATTCCAAGTCCAGTGCTTTATCCATTGTATCATACTGCCTCAAACTATACTTTAGAATTTGGTGAATAAGCTGTACTGGAACCCTAGCACCGTCCCTGACAAAACTGTTGCTCACAATTGCCTAGACACAACATTGACCCATAAAAGTTAAGAATATTATTAATATGTTTACCAAACAAAACACTCATAATATTCAATTACATGGAAGGAAAAACTTTCAGAGTAGATGTAGTTGAAATTAAAACCATGTGGGAACAGGATGAAATACATATTATCTTCCTTGTCCTGTATACTACTAGAGTCAGAAAGACTTAAGTTCTAATCCATCCTCAGACACTTACTAGTTGTGTAATTCTGAGCAGTTTCCTCAACTGTAAAATGGGAATAAGAATAGCATCTAACTTCCAAGGTTGTTGTGAGGATCACATAAGATCATATTTGTAAAATAGCTTAGCAAAGTACCTGGTATATAGTAGGAACTTAATAAAATGCTTATTTCTTTCCCTATTTTTTTTGGTAAGGCAATTGGGGTTAAATGACTTGCCCAGAATCACACAGCTAGTGAGTGTTACGTGTCTGAGGCTGGATTTGAACTCAAGTAGTCCTGACTTCAGGGCTGGTGCTCTATCCAATGTGCCACCTGTGGTTTTGTTTTTTTTAAAGAAGCCAACACATTCCCTGTGTTTTCAATGAGCCAGCTGAAGATGAGCTTATATTCCTATAATGTTGGAAGAATAACATTCCTATAATGTTATTTAATTAGAAAAATATATTTATCCATTCCATGCAATAGTCTGCACAACATTAAATATAAAAGAATAATAGGATAGTGATTTGTGCTAGGGCCATTTTAATTTGAACTCTACTAAAAATATGAGAAGGAGGTGAATAATAATAATAATAATAATAATAATGCCAGTCAGTCAACAAGCATTTATTAAGCACATACTATGGACAATGCATTGTGATAAGTGCTGGAGATACAAAGAAAGGCAAAAAAAGAAAGAAAGAAACAGGGTTTTGGCATGACTTCACATGTAGTCTTGGTGGGTTGGATGGGCTGTGCACTAAGCTAGTTGACAGCCAACAACCCTATTCTCTGATTACTATTATCTCATTTCCTTTTTAAGTTTCTACCAAAGTTCTAAGTCGATAAAGGGATATATCTTAATATACCGTCATAGATTAATAGAATTGCACAGTCTCATCAGTTGATCAATTAGCTCTGAGCCCCCATACCCACTTTACAAATAAACCAGAAAGACCATTTTCCCCATAAACTTTCACTCATTTCTCTCTCTTAATAGCAAACCTAGGTCTCATAGGCTTAGACAAACATCAGTGTTACTGACTGTACACTTTACTAACATTCTAACACCCAATTCAAAGATATATTTAAATATTTCAGCAGCATATCAACCATGAGAAAGATCATATTCCTAGTCACTTTTATTTTATTTTTTTAATTTTTTTATGTTTTGGCTAGGCAATGGAATTAAGTGACTTGCCCAGGGTCACACAGCTACCTAGCTGCCCCCCTAATCACTTTTAACCATTGATGTGCAACTGCTGATTTCTCAATGGACGCTGGGACTCTTGTCCCACAGTTCCATTCTCTCACCGTTGTAGATAAAATCTCTTCTCAAGATGTATCCACCATAGAACAAAAGTTAAAATCAGTTCTCTTAATGTCTTTTTAGATTCTTTCTCTATAATAGCTAATCCACTGAGTCTCTCAGAAAGATGTTTTCCTAGTTCTTTTGCTCTTTGCCTCACATAGTATCTCTCTAAGCCATGTCAGTTAATTCATTCCAGATGAGAGTTATACCATTTCCCCCCAAGATTCTAGTCCTCCTTAAAGACACAGGAAAAGTATCCAATCTCTGTGGGATGGCTGTTGAAGCTGATGTTACAACAATAATAATTTTTTATTTTTTCTTGTTTTCTTATTTTAATAATATTTTATTTTTCCCAATTACATGTTAAGACAATTTTTAACATTCATTTTTAAAAATTTTGAGTTCCAGGGGCAGCTAGGTGGTGTAGTGGATAGAGTTCAGGTCTTGGAGTTAAGAGGACCTGAGTTCAAATCCGGCCTCAGACACTTGACACTTACTAGCTGTGTGACCCTGGGCAAGTCATTTAACCCCACTTACTTCACCAAAAAGCAAAAAAAAAAACCCAAAAAACAAATCTGAGTTCCAAACTTCCCTTGCCCTCTCTCCCCTTCCCAGTTCCTGAGACAGTAAGTAATTTGATTTAAGTTATACATGTGCAATCATGCAAATAATTTTTTAAAAGATGAGAATAAATAATAATTTTTTTGACTGGACCTGTGATTTCATTGGTGAGTGAAACTTTCTCCAATATAGATCAGAAACCGTTGCTCCATATCAGTAACTACAGCTTATTGTCTTAGAGAATCGGCTGGGGCACTGAGAGGATAAGTGACCTGTCCAGGGTAACTAGTATGTGATGGAACCAGAGCTTGAATTCAGGTCTTCCTGACTCTGAGGCCATGCTGCTTCTTTTAGTAATAATGAGCTGCCATTTACATGGTAAGATGTAAAATCTACAATTTCAACATGATGTGACTATGACATGGCACCCACAAAAGTTAATGTGACCTTAGAAACACATGTGCTTATGAGATGAACGATGCCCAGAACAAGAAAGGTGATGGTTTCACTGCACCTTGCCCTGATCAGATACGGTATCTGTGGTATCCATTTCAGCTCGGAGATCTATCTTTTAAGAATGACATTAACAAATTGAAAACAGTTCAGAGAAGGATGCCTGGATGGAAAGGGACCTGGGGACTGTGACATTCAAGGACTAGTTGAAAGAAGTGGGAATGTTTAATCTGGAGAGAACTTTTGAGGGGAGCATGATAACTGAAGGTTTGTCAGAAGGGGAGAAGGGTCAGACTTATAGCTGGTAGAACTGGAAGCAAAACTAGAAGCAATGTGTGGAAGATTCAGGGGCAAGACATTAGCCCCCATGTGAGGGGTGAAATTTTAACAATGAGAGCCAAAAGTAAAATAAAATGCCTCCTTATTTAGTGCATTCGCCTTTACTGGAAGTCTTCAAGCAGTGGATGTATGGAGTCTCTTGCACAGGTAGAGGCTGAACTAGAGTGTCAGAGTGGATAAAGTGCTGGATGAGGACTTTGGAAGACCTGAGTTCAAATCTTGTCTCCGACATTTGCCAGCTGTGTGACTATGGGCAAGTTGCTTGACCTCTCTGGGCCTCAGTTCTTTGGCCTGTAAAAAATAGGGCTAACCTACTCCCCAGGGTTGTAAGTGAGGTTCAAATAAGATAAGGTCTGTCAAGCACTTTGAAAACTTTAAAGTGCTATATTGCTGTTGTTAGCTGTTGGTTATTAGATGATTTCTGAAGTCCCTTGCGACTCTGCGATCTTGTGATGCTGTGATGATACCTGACCCCATTCCAGCTCCCTACAAAATTTAACTCTTTTGGTTTATAAACTGCAGTTACTTAATGGACTTGGGGATGTGTTGGGGGGGCGGGGAGAAGGGAGAAGGAGGGGGTTTTGTGACGCTTTACCTGCAGGGGGCACTGTCAGAGTAAGGCTCCTCTCTAGGCCGCCTTCGCCATTTTCTATGGTGGTGTCGGGTGTCTGTCGGACTCCCCCCCTCCCCCCTCGCCCCATCCCCTCCCTCTCCGGCCTCGGTGCTGCCTACGCCCACCCCCGCCAGCAGGGGGAGCGCGAGGGCTTCGAGGTTTCGACACACTTCTGCTCTCGGGAGCTGAAAATTCCTCCACCGGCGCGAGGTGGGGAGAGCTAAAGAGAGGAAAGAGGAAGAGGAAGAAGGGAGGGGGAGAGGGAAGGGGAGGGGAGGAGGAGTCAGGGGCGCGAGCAGGAGCCGGGACCGGAAGTGTGCGGTTGCCATGTAATATCCTGAGAGCAAGCGCGAGCGAGCGGGAGAGCGAGCGAGCGGGCGAGCGGGCGGGCGGGCGGGCGTTGAGGCGGTGCCGAGGACAGGCAGCGGCTGTTGAGGCGGGGGCAGCGGCGGGCAGGCCCGGCCGGTGTCAGCGTCAGGAGCTGTCTGGCTGCCAGTCTGTTTGTCTGTGGCTAGCTGGGTCGAGGCCGGCCGGGAGGTCTGGCTGCGGGAGGCGGCATGTCGGTGGCCGGGCTCAAGAAGCAGTTCTACAAGGCGAGCCAGGTGAGCGGCGTGGGGGGCGGAGGGACCACTGCCCGGACCGACGGACCGGCTTATGCTCGCACGCTCCAGGCGGGGCCCGCCGACCCGTCCCCTGCCCCTGGAGCGGGGAGCCGGCCCGCAGGGGTGGGGAGGGGGGCCGGAGTCATTGGTCTGAAGAGGCCCCCGCCCCCCAGGATGGATGGAGCCCCCGGGGGTGGGGGTGGGGGTGGGAGTGGGAGTGGGAGTGGGATTGGAATGGACGTCGCCCCACAGGTTGTGCAGAGAGGCCAGCCCTGGCCCCCACCCCAGGAGGATGGATGGAACTTCCAGGGGGAGGGGGAGGGGGAGAGTGACATCACTCCAGATGTTGTGGGGGAGGCCACCTCTGTTCCCTGCCGTAGGAAGATGGGTAGACTCTTCTGGGGGAAGTGACACTGGTACAGAGATTGTCCGGAAAGGCCAATCCTGTCCTGGGATCGTAGAATCAGGATGGATAGAGCCTGTGGTAAGAGGTGATTTTGGTCTAGAGGCTGTTCAGGGAGGCCAGCACTGGCCTATATCCTTAGAGGATGGATGGAACTCTGAGGGGGAAGTGACATTAGTCCACAAGTTGTCTCTGGAGGCCAGCATTATTGGGAACATGGATAAAACCTCTGGAATAAAATGAAATTGGGTCATAGATTGTCCAGGGAGGCTCTTGGGAGGATGGATAGAACACATGAGGAGAAGTGACATTGGTCTAGAGATTGTCCAGAGAGGCCAGCACTATTCTTTCCCTTGGGAGGATGGATAAAGGCTATGCATTGGAGAAAAAATGGGCCAGTGACTGCCCATTGGCAATATAGACATTGCCCACTGCCCCAGAAGGATTAGGAAAGCCTATTGAAGGTGAGAAATGAGGTCTAATAGGGTTATTCAGATATATTGGCACATGGTCATGTTCCCTGGAAGGTTGGATAAAACTTGTGGAGGAAAGAGAAATCAATTCGGAGGTTGTTCAGGGATGTCAACTCATAGGCACTGCCTCTTGCTTTGGGAGGATGGAGGAGGTCTTTGGGGGCACAATGGCCAAGAGGCATCTATGTTCAAGACGGGATAGGTATAGTTATGCTTCTTCCTTACATGGTAGGAGTATCTTGAGGTATTGGGGATACTCCTTTCTTTTACAGAAGGAATAGCCAGCATAGGTTTTGGGAGACGGGACATAAATAACTCTCAGAGTTAAGGTTTCTACTTAAGGTGCCTCTTCCATGGATACCCTTTGGGTCTGTCAGGTTAGCAGACAAGACATTTTATTTTAAGGAGTCTACATTCACAATTCCAGCCTTGAGAGAATTCCAACTGCACTGTTTAAAATTCAGTGTCCATAGACCTTATGTGATGTACTTTCAAGCATTGCCCTAAAAATTTACTTATGTTTATGTATAAACTTGTCACTTCTATTATTTTTGGAGTCTACTACTGTATTTCCTTGATAACTTGTTTGTGTTATTTGTATGTTTTTCTTATTCTAACCATTAACACCTTTCTTATCTCCCTCCACACTACCAGAGGAGATGGAACTATTTCCCAGGAGAGACTTCTTCCTGTGTACCTTTGAAGCAGAATTTTGAACTTGGGAGACTTATTTAAATATTTTTAAATTGGAAAAAAGAAATGCTGAGTGAATTTGGAAGAGTTTAAAATTGCATACTAAAAAAAAAAAACCACCACCAAAAACTTGGTTGGGTAACTAAGGCTTTGATTTTAGTTAAAAGCTTTCATTGCTTTTGCTGCTAACCAACTTAAGCAAATCCCATACTAATTCATCTATTCAAACCTTTCAGGTTATGTTAAAAATGTATTTAAGCTTTGGTATGTTTGCTCCTACTGGAGAGTTTATAAGGAGTTTTAGCTTTCTGTAATGTAAACTGTTTCTCCTGGAATGCCATTACAGGCTAAAGGAATGAAACTTCTTTAGAGCTACTCTGAGATGAAAAAGAGAGTGCTACGGCGAGGAAAGCAGTAAAATAACTAGCCATCTGTCTGATCACCATCCATTTTGCTCCTCTCTGTTCTGTCTAACACCTACCCAACCTTTTTTGCTTCCCTTACCATCTGTCTGACCTCTTTTATTTGTAGCACCTCTAGAATTGATAGGTCTTTATTTGTGCATTTTGACGGCAAGGGGGAACAGAGCGTCCTCCACTGGTGAGATACTAAAATGTAATTTTGATACTGAGTATAGGTATGTGTTTTTATGAAGTTATTCCCAGGCCTAAATAGCAAGTCTAAGTGGCTTGCTGATAATTCTTGTGGTTTTTTTTACCACGACAGAGATTTGAGTTAGTACCTAAGGCTCCAACTGGTGATCAATTAAAATGCAGTGCCCACCATTATTGCTTGAAAGGAGGGAACGAATGTTCAAAGTAGATTTGTTCAGTTGGAGAAAGGAGAAGTGACTCATCGTGACCTTTGGCTTTGAAACTTCTTGTATGTTCTTTAGGCTCTGTTTTGAGTTACTGGCAGTCGGGAAGGAATCCTTAGGGGAGGTCTGAGGAGAAAGGAGGGAGGTACTACAAGGTACAGAGGGATATTTTATACCTAACCTATTAAATGTCAGAAATGGTATGAGATAGGTCTTCTGAAATACCAGTCTTGTTCCAAGAGTGGAGCACTTTGCTAATGCTCATTACTGTGGCCTTACTCAAATTTTGTTTGTGTTTTAAACCCAGTTTTGGGATAAAGTTTTGATATTCTATTGAAACATTGGGTTTTATAAATAAGAAACCATCTGACGTCATAACACATACTCTAGGCATCAGAACATCGTTTTTGCCCTAGCACCAGTGGAATTTTAGGGCAGATTTAGAAATACAAAATGATACGAAAGACCAGGAGCACAGCCTAGAGCAGGGGTTCTTAACTTTTTTTGTGTCACAGACTCATTTGGCTGTCTGGTAAACTTTTCTCAGAATAATGTTTTTAAATGCATAAAATAACATACATAGAATTATAAGGGAAACAATTTTAAAAACAAGGTCACAGACCCCGGGTTAAGAAAGACTCCTAGGCCTAGAAAGGAAGTCTCCTTGTAGGTACTTAAGGGCATGTCAGTAGAGGGTTGTCTTGTCTTTTAGTATGGATCTGTAGCTGCCTGCTAGCCACAAGAGATTCCCTCTTCCTTTAAAATAGCTGGCATTTTGAAGTTGAAAGTTGAAAAGGAGTTGAAAAGGAAATTGCAACTGAGATACCTATGTAGTATGGAATTAATTCAGGGTTAATGCCGTAAGTGTGTGCTGTGCAGGAAACTATGATGCCTGGATTCTGATAAACTAACAAGTTTACTGACAGTTGTACTGTAAGTACTTGTCCTAGCAGTAATTTTAGGTTCAGGTGTTCCTGTTGGGAACTGAGTAACTACTGAATAATCAGGAACTGATAGTTCACTAAGTATTTTGTAATTAATTGCAATATGCCTTAATTAGCCAGTAGGTTTGTATTTTAGGCACCTACTATATTCTTACCATTGCATAGTTCCTAAAGGAGTGCAAAAGCAAGGTTAAGACAGTCCCTACGCACCAGAAGCTTAGAGAGTCTAATTGAATCACTGAGCCACTCTAGTCCCTCTTTGACCTATTGGTAAAAAAAGGTTAATTTAACCTTCTTCACAAGACCATAAATGGATATGACACTTGGTAAATGTGAACTGCTTTGCAATTTATTGTTATAATTAAGGATTTTTGTGTTGTGATCTTAGATCTCAAATGACATTGACTGTAAATGTTGCTTTGTAAATAAGGTAAAAGTTGAAAGTTCATTTCTAAGAACCTATGTATTTAGTAAAGACTTATCTAATCACTGTTCTTAGCTCTGGTTACTTTTTTTTTTAACCCTAAAGATACCAAAGCAATTTTATTATAAAGGCTCATAGCTTCCTTTGAGTGCTATGCCGGGGCAGCTCTTTTTATCAGTTTGAGAAATAGAGTTACAAAATGTTTTCGAGTAACCTGTGTACCTTTTTCATACTTCATGAATTAGCCACTTTGTCTTCGTATTTCTGCCCCTTCTTTGTATTTTAATATTAATTCAAACTGCAATTTATGTTTTCTTCTCCCAACAGAAAAAACTACATAAATTCAACCTTAAAATTGCCTCTTCAATTTGACTGTTCAGGCTTTGTATGGTTTATAATAGAGACATAAGGATACAATGTGCCCTAAGTCTCATCTTGGCCCTTCTCTTACTCTGGCTCCTGCCAACATTTTGAAACTGATCTAATCTGGAGAAACTTCATTTTAATTCAAGGCATGTGGCCAATTTGCATGATATGATTTAAGAAACAAACTACACATTTTGGCAGTGCAGGGTAGTTGGGGGAGTGGGGAGATGATAGTAAAATTGGCTCCTGTATTTCTTATTTTCAAGATGAGTGTAATTGTTTCTTTGCTTTAGTGGTGCTTTATTGTTAATCATCAAGGGCTTCCAAGGGAAATTTATTGAAGCAATCTGGTACTGGCCAAGAAATAGAATAGTGGATCAGTGGAATAGATTAGGTTGACATTACATTATAGTAAATGACCATAGTAGTCTGGTATATGATAAACCCAAACTTTTGGAACAAAAACTCATTATTTGACAAAAACTGCTTTGAAAACTAGAAAACAGTATGGCAGAAACTAGGTATAGATCAACATCTCATACCATATACCAAGATAAGATCAAAATGGGCACATGATTTATACATCAAGGGTGATACCATAAGCAAATTAAGAGAGCATGGAATAGTTTATCTGTCAAATTTATGGATAAGGGAAGAATTTAGGACCAAAGAAGATATAGGGAACATTACAAAATGTAAAATAGAGAATTTTGAGTATGTAAAATTGAAAGTTTTTATACAAGCAAAACCAATGTAACCAATATTATAAGGAAAGTAGAAAACTGGGGAAAATTTTTTGCAGCAGGTATCTCTGATAAAAGCCTCATGTCTCAAATATATAGAGAACAGAGTCAAATTTATAAAAATACAGGTCATTTCC